TTGGATATAATATTTATTCCTTATAAAAGCTGTCACATAATAGCAAGTTTGCTAAATCAGTCTTTTACTACAGATTAAACCCAATGCATTATCAAAGCGCTACGTTAAGCTGTCTGCAGATTTTTATGCATGCACAGTGTGTATTTTCAGTTTAGGACAACATATTATTTCCATATTTTCCAAGTGATACAGTAATCCCTATGTCATATGTTTGCCTGTTTCTGATTTATGTCTCTGTCATCACACTATGTTTCTGTGCTCCATCACTTCAGAGTGACAACAGGTGCAGTAACGGTGTCCAGCAGAAAGGCAAGATGTTGTCAGATGCTCAGCTCTTTGATTTGGAGTTTGAAAAGTTGGTTTCTGAACTTACAGAGCAGGACTTCACTGATCCAGTTCTCACTGATGCCCTCAACAGACTCAGAGAGGTAGAGTAAACCTCTCCCAGCCTGTTTGGAGCGAGGAAATCTGCATGAAGACAAATAGTTAAGATGGCAGACAAAGCATTTAAAGTTTAAAACTCTAGAACAGATCTGAAACCATTCTGAAACGACACTCTATTGAATTATTTTATTATTTGTCAGTTTGGCTTTTCTTTTTTATTTTGAAATAAGTATCATTTTTCTTTAGGTGCTTCGGTACAATGCTCCTGGAGGCAAGAGAAACCGAGGCTTGTCTGTGATTGGTTCGCTACGGGAGCTGGTCTCTCCTTCTGAACTGGCACCTGATGAAGTTCACAGAGCCCTTTTGGTTGGATGGTGCATTGAACTGGTGTGTGAAATTGATACTATTAATTGACCTTATGACAACGGTTACTGACAATGCAAGTCAGCTTGCTCGCTGGTGTACAAGATGATTTCAGAGTAAATGACTTCAAATGCAGTTTATCAAAGTTTATCATTGCACAAGTATCTTGGATGAACATTTAGTATACATTTACACTAACTGTAGATAGAGATTGACAGAGGAAATAAACCAAACTTTTCCTTCTTAATTTTTCTGACAATGAAGCATACTTCCATATAAAATTTAATGTAACCACTTAAATTACATCTAATGATAATAAAAAAAAAAAACTCAAACTCACACACTTTAATTGTACAGCCTTTTTATTTAATGGAGAAAAAGTCACAGAATCTCAGAAGTGTAAAATGTCAGTGTCATAAAGAAAGACAAGTCTGATCCAGTTCATGCATTATTCAAGATTACTGGCTGATTTCAGGAAAGGAACGAACAAAACTATTAACTAGCCACTCTGGATACCTAGTATCCGAATGACATCTGCTATAACAACACCTTGATAGACTTTACAGCTTGATGGACAAAATGGCAGCAAGGCTTCTTAGTGCAGTGATTTGATTGCCACTTTGGGCTGTCAGTCATTTATCTGTCATAAGGTCAATTGCAATGCAAACGAACAAATTGTGCAGTGCAAAACGTTTTGTTTTCTCCCCAGCTTCAGGCTTTTTTCTTGGTGTCTGATGACATTATGGATGCATCCCTGACAAGAAGGGGTCAACCCTGTTGGTATAAGAAGGTAATTGATTGATTGATTTATGATTGGTTTGAGATATATGCTGATGATACCGTAAAATTGCATTACAAGGAGTGAATATTGATAAATTTGTTTATGTTCTAATAATATTTCCAGTCAATTTAGTTTTATTCTTTGAAGTGGAATCTTTAAAAAAAAAAAATTCTATCATGTATTTTCTATCATGTAACATTTTGTCCTCTTGAAATTAAACTTAGATAAGTCTATTATTAATCATCATCATCATCATCTTCATCATCATTATAATAGTAGAACTCAATTCCACATTCTTATTTCAATATTTTTTTCACACAAAAGAATATTGATTATTATTATAATACTTTTACTGTTAAGAACAATCATAATAATCAGTTTCTGGGATTGACAAAATTATTTTAATTTACGGTATAAGTATTAGAGGAATAAGTATTATATAATAAGTATATTATATATATTTATTATAATAATAATAATATATAAATATATATTTATTACAATATATATTTTATTTATATAAGTGTGTGTGTGTGTGTTCTATTACACTAGTGTATATCAATTGTGTGCTAATCTATGTTGTTTATGTATTTGTCAGGAAGGTATTGGTCTGGATGCCATTAATGATGCTTTTCTCCTGGAGGGGGCGATCTACCGCCTTCTTCGCAGACATTGCAGAGGACAGCGCTACTATATCCATCTTCTTGAGCTTTTTACTGAGGTAATCACCTAAAAGTTTCATTACTCTGTTACAGCAATGTGCACACATTTTAACTTATTATTGCTCACTGGCAGTGTTGGGCAGTAATGCATTACTTTGTAACGCGTTACTGTAATTTGATTACTTTTTTAGTAACGGAGTAATTTAACACATTATAATTTTACATGAACTAATATAAAATATAAACGATTAACAGGTGCAAGCATATGAAGACTTTCTATTTAGGCTATAACACGTGTTTGTCGCGTTGAGCAATGCAGTGCTGAAATTTGCGTGCTCACGAATCCTCTCATTATAACACACGAATTGTAGACATTATGAAAGATTCATTATGCATATATTTATTGTGTTGACAGAGATTTGTGAGATTGCGATGAACTGAGATGTCTTTTAGAGATTATAAATGCAGCGCTCTTTGCTGGCATTCTGCCATGCCAAACCATGCACGCAGCAGCCGCTTGCTTTAGTTAAAAATAACAGTGTTCTGTGAATGTTGATGCTTTAATAACAAATATGTATCAGGAGCGTGTATGCTGGGATTTCATAAATTTAATGGAGAAAAAAGTAACGTAACTAGTAATGTAACTAATTACTAATTACTTTTGAAATAAAGTAATCAGAACAGTAACGTGATTACTTTTAAAAGGAGTAATCAGTAATCAGTAATTTGATAACATTTTCAGAGTAACTTGCCCAACACTGCTCACTGGCAGCTTGTTCATACAAATGTACGAAGACTATTATGCAGTTTCTATCACATGATTAACTGCATATTGTTTAATAGATACTGACATACTGTATGTGGGCTGTCTAAAACCTGAATTTTTTTTTTTTCAAGACTTCTTTCCAGACAGAGCTGGGTCAAGCTCTAGATCTGATGACAGCACCTCCACACAAAATTGACCTTGATCGCTTCACAATGGAGAGGTGAGAGGGTGTCTATAAGGGTCAGACCACTTAAATGGCATGAAACCTGACAAAACTAAATAATATTTATGAATTCACTATCGTTGACTGATTTACAGTGTATTTGCTTCAGGTACAAAGCCATTGTGAAATACAAAACCGCATTCTACTCCTTTTATCTCCCTGTGGCTGCAGGCATTTTGCTTAAAACAAGTAAAATTATCTGCCAGTGGGGTAAGTAAAATATTCTTAAAACAAGAGTATTTTACTTACCCCACTGGCAGATAATTTTACTTGTTTTAAGCAAAATGCACTTAATTTAGTTTTTTCCCTCTGGAAACAAGACTAAATATCTTAAGTCAATTGGCTTTTCTAGTAAAAGTATCTTGATTTAAGAATTTTTAGATATTTTGACTAGAAACAAGACAATTTTTTGCAGTGTATAATAAAGCAACACTTTTGAAGCCTGAAAGCTATCAGATCTTCTCTGGTTGTAATATACCAAAGCATTCAGAACATGTTTGTCATTGACAGGATGACTACTTGGATTGTTATGGTGACCCCACAGTGACTGGAAAGATTGGCACGGATATCCAGGACAACAAATGCAGCTGGCTGGTGGTGACTGCACTGGGCATCATGACACCTGAACAGAGGGCAGAACTAGAGGTGAGAAAATGTGGGACATTTTCTAAAAGGAAATAATTGCAGAAAGCAACAGTCAAATGTGGTCAAGTTAACAGATTTTCCCTCTTTCTTTCAGGCATGTTACGGACATAGTGATGCTGAAAGTGTTGAACGGGTCAAGGCTTTGTATGATACTCTGGAATTGCCTATCCGATACCATCAACATGAGGAGGAGAGCTATCGCCGTCTTCAAAAACTCATCCAGCTTCATGCCAAGAATCTGCCTCCCGCTGTGTTTCTTAATTTTGCCAAGAAAATATATAAGAGAAACAAATAAGCCGTGGTTCAAAGAAAGGAAAGGATGAAATAAAGATGCAGGGAGGGATTTTAGTGGTTGAGTAAATATGGAAATGGTAGGTTTTATCCGCACTTTAAATATACTGTCAAGAGTTGAATTATTTGTCATAACTATTTGTGTTTTCCCTTTTATTGTTGCAGAAAAATACAATATGTTGATTCATAGGTCTTCCACATATTGCACACATAAACAACACATGTCAGTGTTTCACTTGGGGTGTATATATATATATATATATATATATATATATATGAATAAACCATATATTTTCATCAGGTTTTTGGATTGTATTTTCAGCATCTTTGGATAAATGAGGAAGAAAAAAGGAAAAATATGTATATATTATTTTTGCACTGAGAATAAGAACCAACAAACGGCTGATCAGGTGCAATCCCAGTGAATAGATGCACATATTCTTTAAAAACAATCAACTTAAGTATTTAATAAGTTAAATAAGTGAAGAAATACCTAGATAAAATATCTGCCAAGGCAGAACACAGTGGCACTTTTTTTTTTTTCGGGAAACCTGTCACATTAGGTTGTACTGTATATTTTTTAGACTCTACCAGAATGTGTAACCTATCCAGTCATCCATCAATCCCCATCATTGCTGTAAATTTGGATTATAGAAAGACGAGAAATGTGCTTTTAATAAAGAACTTTGATCAACATTCTTTTTCCACGCACTTTTCTGTGTGAGGAGGTGTTTGAATGAGTGTGTGCAAGAGAAGTTTTGTGGGCTCGCTGCTCTCGGTTTGGTCCAGGCAGAGCAGAGATGCTGCTGAGGGGTGTGGTCTCGAGGATGGGATGAGAGAGAGAGAGAGAGAGAGAAGAGGGGAGGGGAAGGGAGGGCTGGAGGGCTGGATGACGGAGCGATAGACAGGAGGAAAGAGAATAACGGCGTGTAATAATTTCAGAGTCAGGGTTTGTGCGATGGAATAGAGATCGAGATTTATATCCTTCTGGAAATGAGGTAATTTGTTTCGTATTGAATTGTCTGCTGGATTATGTGCGTTTTGTTTTATTTCCGGATTTTGCTGATGAATCTGTTGTTTTGTTTATACGGTAAGGTATTCGAAGATATATCATAAACCGATACGTTATTATTGTGAAATTTTAGTCTCCTGTATTGATACCAGTACCATTAAAGTCCACGGAGGAGGTGTCATCACAACTCGTATGTCATCACATCTTATTACACATCATTTTTTATACTCTATAAATATTTAATATATTAGCCACCAACAAATAATTAATACACAACGGCGTCTTAGATTACGTGATGTTCAAATATTGTATTGTATTTATATCAGTCATGAGTTTATTTACTAAACGCGCACTAGGCCTAGATTTACATCCTCTGTATCCAAGGACATTGGGCGCGAGCAGTGCATTGCCCACGGTGTTCATGAAGAGCAAAAACAGCGTTTGTCATTGCTATGATTTTCTGCTCCACGTGCCTTATGCAGAGAAAAATTATGCAGATTTTGTATAGTAGACTAAAGAGCTTTCTGGATATGTTAAGGATATGTTGATTAGCCTATATATAGGCTGTTTTTGTTCTCTCTCTTATGGGCATGATAATATATTTAGATTAAATAATGTACAAATTCCGCAAATGAATACAAATTTGTTATTATCTGAGGTCATCATAGCTTTGGGTGAATGCAGTAAAAGACTAAAAAGATGCCAAGTTCTGAATCTAATTGTCAGTTGGCAAATATTAGAATGCATTTTTTTCTTTACTCTTACAAATAATATATTATTTTAATAATGTTGATATAATATGCTTACATGAAATACCGTTATATGTAGCATTATTATTAAAATTATTATAACTGAAATTATTATTAAAATTATATATTATTTATTAGACAAACAACTGAATAGTACTTAGCATGCAAGCAGTTTCTAAAAAGCTGGTGTGTACAGTACACGTGTTTCAGTAACACAGAATAGTGTATACATTTTTATGCTCTGAGAATTTGGAAATAATATGTTTAATCTCAGTCCAAGAGCAACAGAGAAGTACTACTTTATCTATAAAATTTACCAAGTGATGCTAAATTGTGAAAACATTTTTTGTCCAATTTCTCAATTAAGGTGGTCAATTATTGTGTTTCTAAACAAAATCTGTCTTTCTCAATATTTCAGGTACTAACTAGATCCAAGATGTGACCCCATATGTTTACAAACTCTTTAGAAAAACACCAGAATAATAATCAGGACATAAAAACTATCCCACCATGCACCACTCCTCTCGTCCCTCTGTGCCCCCACGTTCCCGCAGGTTTGTCGATAGGCGTACGGAGGTAAAACCAAGCCAAGGGGCTAAGAGGGAGGACAAAAACATGAACACAGCATCTTCATCCCCTCGTCGTGGCACTCGGGGACCACCTGAGTCTTCCAGGTTGAAGGGCCCCAGTCAAGGTGCACGAGCCCCAGTGGTTCAATCCAAACTGGTGCGGCCACAGAAGAATGGTGCTCACGCAATACCAGCTATCTCAAAACCAAAAAGTGGACACACTGTATCAAACCTAGTCCCAGCTGTGGATCCAAACTGCAATGAGCCCAGCCTACCTTGTCTGTGTTGTGATGGCCATTCACCTCAGGATAGCAACAGCCTTTTTAATCACAACCATAACAATAATAACACTGTAAACATCAGGCAACAAATGAAGCTGCCACCACCACCTCCACAGAAGGAATTGGCAGTTCCCAAACAAGACATCAAAGAAGATGAGTGTAAGCCAGAAGTAAAGCAACCTCATGTCATTCCAGTGGAGGAGAGAGAGGAGGACAATGGCAGTGTGGATGAAAAAGAGGGTGGTCAGCTCAAAAATGATGACTGTGGTATAAATGTGAATGCTAATGTTGATGAGAATGGCAACGGCAATTGTAATGGTGAAGATGATGAAGATGATGACGACGAAGATGATGATACTCTTGTCCCTTCTTGCTGCAACTGTCCAAAATCCTTGCTGGACTTCTCCCTCACATCTTCTACCTCATCTTCATCCACATCCATCAGCAGCTGCTCAGATCTGGAGTGTGACTGTCCTGATACATTTTCATTGTCATCCCAGGACCAAGAGGCCACTGAATGCTATCCATCATCTCATTCCCCGGTCTCCAACTGCCTTGCCTTTCAGTCCAATGCTTTACCATTGGATCTCAACACTTCTGCAAGATCGCCTTGCTCTTCTGATGAAGGCTATCCCTCAGCCCCTTGCTCTCCGTCCTCTGATTATGTAGACAGCAAGGGATCAGAAGAAGGAAAATGTATTAAAGTGGATCTCCTCCATTTTTTAGACTCCATAGAAGAGTTGGGAAAAGTGGATCTGTTCTACCGCATTGTTAGGCTGGCACACTGGGAACTGGATGGTGAGCTGATTGTCAGAGATAGATTGGATCACCAGCAGAAGCTTCAGAGGGTTAACAAAGAGGTGAAGTTGGCTTATCTTGTGAAACTTCAGGAGGAAGGTTTAGACTTTGATGATGAGGATATCACTGGAGTTTTGGATGAAATGGACAACATTGACATTCCATGGAAGTTGTATAAAAACAACAAATCAAGTGAATCCCAGGAATTTTCTGATGCAGGGGTAGATATGACAGCCCCCTCTGATCTTGATGAAACCCCTGCCTCGGATTCACTTGCTCCATCGCCATTGGAGCCTCCTCCTCGGCCCCCAAAACCTCCAACGAGGCATGTGAGTGCCCACCCAGATTCACACACTTACGAGAACATCAGCGGACATGTTTTCTCAGTCACATCCACCAATCACGCTACTAATTTCTCTACAAGTGTCCCTGTCCCTACCTTGCCTGCATTGTCATCCTCACCCCCAGCTTTAAAACCTCCTGCCCTTCCTCCTCCTCCATCACAACCTGTGCCCTACTTCACCCTAAATACAGACAGACCTGCTCTCACCTCCCCCAAACCACCCATTCCTCCTCCAAGAAAACATCATAAAGCCCGTCTAGAAGCTCAGAGACTTGCTGAGCTTGAAAGAGAAAAGACTCCTCTGTCCTTTCCACCGCCAATGTCCAGACCTCCTCCATTGCCACCTCCACCTGCGATGTCCTCGCCTCCAGCTGTTCCACCTCCACCATCACTCCCGCCGCCTCCATCTTTTCACACTCTGGATGTGGAAATCCGAAAGTTGCTTGCCCTAGCAGGCCTCACCCAAGCTGAATTGCTTAAACTTAGTCCCGAGTTGGGTGTTTGTGTAGATGTTGTCCTGGAGAATGAGCAACAGCCAATGTCTGACGTCTCTCAGATTGGAGAAATCAGTGTAAACTGGACACACAAGGAAGAAGGTGTAGATAAGGGGTTGCATTCCAGATTGAAAGAAGGATCCAGATTTGGGAAAGACAGGTCAACAGGTGCAAATGAATTAGATACTCTCAGTGAAAAGGAAATTTGTAAAGATGAACAGAAGGAATCAAACAGGACAACATCCTTCACAGAAATGGCAAGACGACATAAGAGAAATAGTGGACACCGTAATCATAGCTGCAGCTGTGGTTTTGGATCCAATGTTAGCCTATCTCCCAACTCATATTACAGCACTGATCTTAGCAATACAAACATCCTGAATGTTAGCTTTGGAATCTTTGATTATACTTCAGTGATTTCAGATACCCCTCCTCCTCCTCCTCCACCTCCACGACCATTGCCCTCTTGTCCACCAATTTCCTCCAATCCTCCTGAACTTCCTCCTCTCAAACCTTGCACTCTGCCTGCCAATGCATTTCGCCCAGATAGGTTTGACTGGCTGATAGCCTTCACCCCAGATACAGAGTCGCCACCTCTTGAGATGCGAAAATCGTCAAATGATGGCATGTTGCAAAAAGGCCCAGCTTCAACTTCAGGCTCAAAAGTCACAACCTTTAAAGAATTACGCAACAGAAGCAAACAGAGCTCCCCGCCAGCTCCTGTTCAACCAGAACCTGATCCAACTGTTATCACCCCAGACCCTGATTTTCTGTACAACCTCAAATGGAGAAGAGAGAAGATTGATGGGGATGGCTGGGAATATACTTCCCAAGCACAAGCCTCATTTCTTCAGCCGCCACCCACTCCTGCCTCATTGTCTCTCTTTAGGGAAATGTGCCGCCTGAATATACAAGAAGATTGCCCAGCAGAACCCAAAGTGTCCCAACAAATTGGCTGTTCAGTAAGTGAAGGAAGCCTTAGGACTATTTGTGATGAAAGAGATAAAGCTGTTAACACCAAGAAGATGGATGATGAAGATAAAGTGGAAGTTAGGGGAATGGCAGATGGAGCATGGACTTTGGAAACCAGAACATCAGGTAAAGTTGCATTTCATAAATATAGTTCATGTTTTGTCTTAGAAAGTTCATCCACACAATAAAACAGTGCAAATTCAGTGGAATATTAAGGAGAAAGTAAAAGAACAGTAGTCTGATGACATGGAAAGTGGTGAGCCAAGATGAGAGTCACGCAGGCAGATGGGTAGATGAATCAGCAGAGCAAGACTGGAGGGAATTTCAGAATGCAGCAGGCTTAATGCTGTGTTGTTTTTTCATGATGTCACAAAGCTTTTAATTATTCATCCTCCTCAGCAGGCTAATTCATTTTTTCTCTCATCCTCTCTTCCTTTGCCCTGGCTGGCACACATTATGTATCATACTTTCCTCTGTCAGCCTTCCTATTTTTCAGTCAGTAGTTTCTATTTTATCTGAGCTAAAGTGTCAAACAAATTGGTATTTCAAAACTTGAAATGATAATACTATCAGAAATATTGTCTCATACAAAAGTCATAATGCACACCCCACACTTCTCTGCCTCTCTCCTCAAGCTTGCTTTGTCATTTTTCTGACATGCCATGTTGTCTCCTATTATTAAATTGATACTCCCGTGCTTGTTATTCTCTCATTGCATTATTTTTAATTTGCCATTTCTCTTTTGCTCTGCTCCTTTCTGTGCTGTTTATCTGCCAAATGGAAAAGGCTAATTTGCTTGGATCAGGTTACTTCACTTTTGACTTCAGATATAAATGGCCTCTAATGTGCCTGTAAATTGAGTAGCAAATACATTTGAGGGAGCCCTCATTTTTGTTTACAAGGTTAGCACATCATACAACTCTGCTAACCCATGCTTTGGCAATATAAGCACTATTCATCTTATTCATGGATATTAGTATTCATGAATTTAGCTTTGGTGTTTAGTTCTTCAACTTGTGTACATTTGTTTTATTCTGTGTTAGTAAATTGCTGTTTATTGAATCTTTACTCCCTTCATGACTCATATTTCTGGCTGTGTCAGTCAGCTCAAGAACATGACCTTATGCCTTTAAGTGTAGAAAAGGTGTGACTCAGACCTTTACACCAATCACAATACAGCAACAGGGAAACAGGAAGTGCTGAGTCAAACTGACTTCATTTGAGAGAGGGAAATATCTGGCAAGTTAAGGTAAAGTAGAATGCTTTTATGTCTGTAAATCATAATTCTCTAGTGATATGTACTGTGTGATGAAAATGCACTCTTTTTGACTGACTGGGAATTCAGTTGGATGGTTATATTTGATAACAAATAATCAGCAAAATCAATTAAAATACAACATGCTATCTACTGGTATGAATCAGAAGGTATTCTAGATCTGAAAGCTTATTTTCCAGACATTTAGACCTTGTAGCTTGTCTTTCAAAGCAAAGTTGCCATTGCAGATGAAATGTGATCCTAGTGCAGCTCCTCGTGAGATCCTAGATAGAGACTGCTTTCCCGCACACGGTCGAATGTGTAGAGATCAGATAAAGTGCTATTAGGCTTTGCACACCATATGCTGAAAATTTTAGTTTTTGTATGTGTGTTTGTTTGTTTTAGTTAAAAAAAAAAAAAACTGGCAAAGAAAAGATGCAAATGTGTGACACTCAGTACTCTGTGCAGTTATAAGAAGGAAATTTTGAGTTCTTGACTGATTAGTTTTTATGGATTTGTATTTAATATTATATTTTTTGCTTGTGTCTTATTTACTTATTTAGGCTAAAATAGTTATGCTTTCTCTTTTTTTCTAAAATATTTTTTAATGCAACTTCTGACCTGTGAAACACTGAGCGGCATAAAATGTGCTGTCCAGATAAAAATGTATTATTATTCTCTAAATTTTCACATCTTTAGACAATGAGTTATATACATATTTCCCCACGCACTATGGCATGTTGTGCTGTGTTCTAATGTTTGTATGATTATTGTAACACAGAAAATACTCTTTACATACAGCATATTGAATGTTTGGAGTTCTCTTTCATCTGTTTCATCATAAGTGCATTCTTTCTTCTTCTAAATGACACTAACATTTTTTCCATTCTCTCTTTTTCTCCCTCTTTCATCACTGTTTGCTGTTTTACCATTCTTCCCATCCTTTCGATTCTGAATCTCCTCCATTGTTATGCTCTCATAATTCTTCACCCATAATAACTGTAAAAGTGTCCTCACCTCCCTTGTCCCTCTCCCTGACCTCACCTTATTACCTGCACTCTGCTCCCCTGTCCCAGTTTTACCACACTGGCACTAACAGGGATCGTGCCGTGACCCATTGTGAGGGTTCTGTAAACATCTCAAACCCGTTATGCGTAAATTCCACTTTTGACTGCAGCAAAGATGACTATACTGACTCCCTGTACTGTGCCGGCCCAGAAAACAATACGATGTTGTTCTGTAAACAGGAAAATGATCTCAGTGGTAACATGGATTCTCTGTACCACCGCTGCAATCATGCTGACAGCTTCCTAGACTCTTTATACATCTGTGGGCATGATCTTGACAGCACAAAAAACAGCTTCTGTCCACATAACAGTGGAGTCGATTCAATCAGAAATGATGATTCACTTTACAGTGATGCCAGATACACAAGAAGCAGCCTGAAGCTGTTCACTGACCCTGAACCACCATCTGACATTAACACTCTCACTGAGGGAGACATAACGCCGTACAAAAACATTGACATGCAGGCTTACATAGCTATGCGAAACCTCAAAAATCGGAGCTATGTGAACAAAAACAGTTATAAAGATGTCGACTCGCTGTTTGATTTAAAATCAGACAACACTGATGACTCAAAACCACCAATCAACCCGTTTTTTGACCACAACAGCAATGAAAACTCAACACAGAACAAACAGCAGCTTGTATCTTTCCCTGCTTACTACCTTTATCACCCCCAAAACTGCCCCTTGCATAAAGGCGCCCCCCCACGGCTTTCCCCCGTAGGAGCGATCTCGCCTCCCCACAGGTCCGGGCCTCCAGTTCCAGGCACAGATGTTGCCCATCTCTGTTCACCCCTGTTCCCCCGCAGTCACACCCTTCCTGCCCTTGCCGCACCCCTTTACTACCCTTATCTGTACACACCCCCTGTTCAAGCCCCTCTGCGGGAGCCATCGGTACCCATACTTCACTTTCAGCAGAGTCCACCACCGCTCACTTTAAGTAAGAGATCAGTGCATTTTCATTTCTCTCACTTTCCTCCACTTCTTTCCACTTTCTTCGATTGAAAGCACCATGTCTGTTTGTCGCTGTGTCTCCATTCATATCCTGTGGATATTGTAGCACTGTCTGTGTCTGTGACAGTGTGAAATATGGGGTTGTCTGTTGCATGATGGCATCAGAACCTTAATAATGATAATATGTGGCTTATTTTTGTTATTTTTTTACTGGTCAACTGTTAGTGTTAATTTTTTGTTTGCTTGAAATATTTGATTATAAATGATGTAAGTTAATAATTTTATATAAATATACTTGTTGCTCTCATTTAAACTTTTTGAAAATTTCTTTGTGGTTATGGCTGTACAATATTTAATTTAAAATTTTAAAATGTTAATTATTTTATATACTATTTTATTTTATTTTTTACCCCTGACATTTACTGTATATTTTTGTTGATTTTAAAGGCATTGGTGTTTATTTTTTATGCTGCTCAGCATGTTTTGCTTTTGCATGTGACAAACCCAAATATGTCAACTCAAGTCCAAATATGACTGAAATGAATAAATATCTTTCATAATTTATTCATTAATATTTGTATCAGATCTATACACGTTCCTCACGAGCTGCTGTCATGTACTGCACTGGATTGGCTCAAGATCAACTGTAATACATTATCTTCTGTTAATCGAGTTTATAAGCGCACCCTGGTGTCTTTGCCTCCTAATAGCTGTTCGCAGCTTCTCATTTGCCGGCTCTGAGCAGAAGAACGCAGCCTGGATGGGAGAAGATGTGAGGCCCTCACTAAGTGCTGAAGGGCTGTCTTCTGCCTGCCTGCAAGAAAAGAAAAGTAATACAGTATAGTATACCTCAGAAACTTTTGGTCCGTATTTGTCTTTATTTTGCTTTTGTAAATAATTATTGACATTTTATGTGTTTTGGCTCACAGTTCTTGTCAATTCTGTCAGTGTGGCAGTGGAAGCCATTTTGGCTCAGTTCAGTTCGTCCAGGACTGTTGTACAGAAGGTCAGTTTTGCGCAAATGTTTCTTCTCAAACTTGGCATCATAAACTCCACGTCAGTTTAATATAGACATTCCCACAGAAAAGAAAAATTAAATTGAAACATTAATAGAATTAGTAAACCGTACCTGTTTTTTCCCTCTCTCTCTCCATGCCACTTCCATGCACTTGGCTTATCTCTTCCTTTTTTCTTTGTCCAGTTTTACTCAGTAGATAAGGTACTTCAAAGTTCATGAACATGAGCTTTGCGAATAACTTATTTTCACACTAACCTCATGCACCTTTCACCTCTTTCTCCTATTTTCATATTCCCTCTCTCTACCTCTTTTATTTATTTTAAACACTTTATATATCCTATATCTTTTTTCTCCATTGCTTTGTACATTTTTTATTCGTTCTCTCCATCTCTCTCCCCCTCTTGTCTGCCTATCTTCCATTGCCCTTTTTTGACCTCTGTTGACAGACTCTTTCTGGAGACAGCAGTGTAAATCCCTGTCTTGGTCGTCTGGTACTGCAGTCCCTTTGCCCAGCCCTGCGCAACCTGCTCTCTGATGGACTCAAGCCTCATCAGAGTGACCTCATTGCAGGCAGAAGGCCAAATTCACCCTGGGGATTGGTTCAGGCCTCCACCAAACCAGGTATAAGACATCTGGACCTGGCACACTAGACAATTACCTTCATTTTTCTCTCTCTCCATCTCTCATTCTCACACTTGTTTCGTTCTTTTATTTTCTGGCACCATGAATCCCTGCAGTATTGACCCATCTCTGTCATACTTCCTGTCTTGAAATATTCCTTGGTTTTCTCCCTCAGTATTCTTTGTTTTTGCTGCTCATATTCATTGCCTTATGTTTTCTGTAGCATTAGCAGGATTTCGATACTTTGTTCATTATGGTACACATTCATTCTCTTGCCTTTCCTAGCATTTCATAATCAATTGTTTGCTTGATAACTTACATGTATCTTTTAAAAATCATCATTTATTGTGGTTCTTTAGGCCCGGGCACACAGGCTTTGCACAACCTTCAGACTAAAGTAGCAGGGCTTCCCCAGCTTAAGCAGAGCAGACACAAGTTCAACGCATTTCTGTTTGGCCTTCTCAAGTAAGCCAGAACTTTCCTCGGTCTGTCTAAAAAATTATTTTATTTACAAGATATTGATTGTCTCTCTCTTCTTTTTATTCTCCATTGATTTATTATTTTCTTCTTCTAATCTGTCATGAAGTGTCAAGCTCCTGGATTACTGGCTTTCACATCTGCAGTCCTGCAGTGGTTAGTGTTCACATTTACTGTTGTTCTCCAGTTGTCCTTGCTGGAAAATCCATCTCAAGCTAGTTTTTGGAACAATGGCAGCTAGTGGAACATCTTGGACTGCCAACAAACCAATTACTGACTTATATAACCAGCTTTAGGTGATCAAGCAAGATTCAACCAAACGCTAATGACAAGGTTAGATCAGCTACCATGTTCCAAAACATTATTATCAGCCCACGCTGGATTTTAGAACAATACTGAGCAATATCAAACTCAACTTTCCCAAGACTGCTTTCAATCTTGTTAAACTGAATAGAGTAAAAAAACTGAGTGTACAAACAAAATAGTAACACATTTTTACATTTTATAACGTTTTTATATTTTATATATAATACACGTAAAAGGCATTGATTTACGTGTTGAGTAAAACTAAATTACCAAAATGCCCTTTTTTAGTACTCACTAAAATGTAATTATATACATTTATTTGATAACCCATAATGAATAGAATTTATTAAGCGTCATAGTAGTTAGATCTATTTTAACCAGTGATGCTTTTATAATTAAAATATATATCAATACATATTTTTTATCATAATTTTTACCTTTGTATTTTCTTTTTCCTCACTCCCACAGATGTGTTGGAGACATATTACCGCCCCGCTTCCTTCATGCGTCTCTCACTAACTTCTTGCCAGCCTCTTTTTGAGGAGCTTCTCCTCCTACTGCAGCCTCTCTCTCTTCTGACCTTTAACCTCGACCTGCTGTTTCAGCATCACCACCTTGACCCCTCCTCCCCACCTCTCACCCCAGCCAGTCACACATCTGAGATATATAGCCCACCAAATGAAGACTTCAGCTTCCACTTGTCACCCAAGGGGCTTTTCCAAGAAAGTGGCCATCATCTTGGAAGCGTGTTAGAGCAAGACCTTGGCAGTTTGGGTTTAGACCCCAATCCTAATTCAGGTCTCACGAGTCACGTTCTTGATCTGTCAGCCTATCGCAATCCAATTTCGCTGTCGTCAGGCGTCACCAAGGAGGAAGCCAGTTCGCCATTATCATGGTTTAAAGGGAATGAGATCTCCATACCTCTTGATGCCGGAAGCCTTTCCCAGCAGGCAGGCCAGGCTCTTCAGCAAGGCTGGGGTGCAGTAATGCGTTTTGGGGAGCGTTTAGGGCAGAACTTTGGTTTGGCCACCACCACAGAGGATGATAAAAGTCCAAACTCACCAGGAGACTTCAAGACTGGCTTCTCGCTGAATCCAAAAAGTCCAGATGAAAACAGGCAGCAACCAAGAGACGACCTTTCCTTGAAGGATAGTGGAGCTGCTGTTCCCTGGGGTCTGGGACGGCTCTTTGGAGCTTCTAAGAGCCCCAGCAACCCACCAGCAAGCAGGTTTGATGTTGATTTTTTTTTAAATGTCAGTTTAGTATAATCCAGATTTTATCAGGTTTATTTATGTGATGTGTCTTTATATCTTCTCTTATACTGTAGGCGCCCATCTCAGTGGCTCTCCCCAGGCGTATCCGTCCTTTCCCGCATAGTGAATCTTGACCAGGGTTCTCCGCCTGAGAAGAGAGAGCCCCAGAGAAGCAAAGATAAGGAGGAAGATGAGAAGGAAGAGATTAATGAAACCAGAGATCAGCCAAAGCCCCTGAGGTAAAGTTTCTGTTAGATGATTCATATTCCTAACAGATTTACATTTATGCATTTTATGAGATAAGTTCAGACCTTTTAATAGAAATAAAAAAAATAAAGTGCTTTTGAAGGGCTTGTGGTTATTTAGGTCAATTACACAATGTTAATTTTTGTCTATTAATTTATTCAGAAATACAAAAATAAATAAACAAATAAATAAAAATGAAAATCATACATTCATACATGTAATGACTTAAATAGAGTTGTATATTTTTATTGAAATGTATTTATTTATTTATTTGCAAAACATGAATTTCTCAATTAAAATTCATAAATATTCTTTAGGGAATAAACGAGAAAATGTCAGCGTAATAAAGCAGCAGTCCTTATGTCAAGTCCTATATTGGTAAACTTGAAGTCATGTAAGCCAACAAACATTTTTAAAAAATGCACAAAAAAAGGAAAAAACTAAATAAAAAAGGAAATAATATCATAGAATATCATAATATCACCCTGCTGGTCAGTAAGTCTCTTAAAATATCAGATAATTTCAACTTTTTTTTTTTTTAATGACAAGTCAAGGTTAGTTAACATTTTAAAATGTGGTGTCAAAAATATAATAATATTTATACATGAATAATTCATAATATTACTAAAAATATATGTTTTATTGTAATATTAACATTTATTACACTCACAAATATTCAAGGTCTAAACAAAACATGTCTTTTACCACATTTACATTGTTAGATTCATCTATGACAGTTTAATATGGTGACCCATAAAGCAATCTCTGAAAAGAGTCTCTGAAGCTTTTACCATCAACAATAAGCTGAGTCTTGTGTTCTGATTCATCAGGACGGTCCGAACTCTGTGTGACCACACAGGCACTGGAACAGAGCTGAGCTTCAGGAAGGGGGAGGAGCTTGTCCTGTTGGGAGGCGTGGACCATGACTGGATTCGATGTCGTCAAGGTCACAAGGAAGGCCTTGTTCCCATTGGTTATGCTTCACTTATCATGTGACTTATCTTTAATTTTGCCTGTATGTTTGTGTGAAAGAATATCAGGGGATAATGTATAAGGGAAAAGACCATATATAGATGTAGTTATTAGTAGCCGTGTTACGCGTTTATCTGTTTATCTCTGACCCTCGTTGCCTGGTTTGTGACGTCTGGAATATTTTCTGTGATATATTAGAAACTGTATAAATCATAAATATATATTTAGATTTTAAAAAGATAGATGGACAGATAGACAAAAAATAGAATTGGGTAATGAATAAAAATCAAGTAAAACCATCATAGTGTATTTATTATTAGGTGTGTTGCCATAACAAACGGCTCACCCGGAATCTTACTTAAAAAGCGCAAAGTTACGTATATTCATAAAACAGCATTTCATTATAATTTTAAGTCTAATAAACAACCAATATGCATATGCGACCTATTTTCATCCGAAACTGTGTGTAAAACCCCTTAAATTTCTTACCATATCATCAGCCCAAAGGCAAGCACGTCTTCATTACTACAAAGGGCAAAGGCATGAGTTTTGGTTATTTTGGGGCTGCATTAGTACATAAATGACAGATTTACTCAAGTTAACTCTTTAATTTATTATACAATTAATATTTTATTTTTATTGAACTGTTTAATAAGAAATTACTGGCTAATCAGTCTAAAAACTAACTGCTTGACAATTTAAATAATTTTTTCCTCATAATATTAATACTTCGTTGTTCTAATTTGTACACCAACAATTAGTAGATGAACTCTTGGTATTGCCTGAAGATGCCCTTATATACACCCTTTTATTATCTCACTTACCAAGAAAAAAATATTCTGTTTGAAAACCGACATTATTATTCTCTTATCGTTATTATTGTAACTCTCAATGGTAACAGTCAGATATACGTATTAGAGTGGTAGTGTGTAGATGATTCTTTTCTATTTCATACAGTGTGATGGCTACTGTGGTAAGATCTGTATCACCCATGAGCTTGATAGTGACTATGCATACTCTGTACTGTATTGTTTATGAGGCTTGTTGCTGGAGAAACGTATATGATTGATAGCATTCATGATTTTCTTTTGAATGGATATTCTGCATCCGTATAATGCTTTGAATCAGGGGTTTACATACTAAACCTGTATGAATGTGTGTAGCAAATGTCAGGTATTCATCAATACAACTTATTTGTGTGCACAAATACTTTCACTTAGACTACAAATGCTAAAGGAATAGGCCAGGATTTTAGTGGCTGTGGTGGGAAAGGTGATTTTAAATAGAGCTTGCTTATTGTTGTTCATTAAATGGCCCTCTGTGTTTCCCACATGTATGAATTTTTGTCACACCTCTGACACTGCTAATCATAAATATATTCTGAAAAATGAGAGAATAACCCGGTCACATAAGCGTGCCAGTCCGCATGGAACACAGCATTGCCTATCACACCACATAATGATATGCCTTCTGGATTATTCCAACCAATAGCAAAAAGCAGTGGGCTACAGTAGCAGTAACCAATTCACATTGCTGTATATATAAGTAAAATTAGTGTATGGGATTTATGTATGTATGAGTATGTCAAGGGACAGTTGATACAATTTTTAAGATATAGTTTAAGAGAAAACAAAGTCTGAGATTTAGCTCCTTGAGAAGTTAGCTTTGTAATTGGCTTGAGCTTTAATGTCCCTGTTTTAAAAACAAAGAAAATATAATAAAATCGTATGGTTTGAGAAGTAAGCAAACAGCAGGGGTTCGGTAAAAAAAAAAAAAATCATATTTAGTGTAATAGTCTTACCTCACAGGGCAAACTGCAATGATGCATGATGTTTTTTTTAATGATTATTTTCATTTATTATTTTTAGTTCTTGTAGTTGTCATTTTCATTATGACATTTCATTAATATGTTTTGGAGAAAGAAACAGCTATGTTGCATTATAAATATAGTGTGCTTATTGTCTGTGGTTAATGTCTGCTTTTTATCTGTTCCTCTTTTCTATCTCTCTATCTATCTCCTGTGTGTGTACTTTTGTGTGGTAATGAGTTGCGTAGCTCTGTGTGGTAATGCCCATCGCTGGTAGCACACTTAAAGCATATTATGTACTGTACCAACTCTTGAGTTCTGTAATTCCCTGTGAATCAGCTCTATGCATGTTGGTGTTTGTAAATATGCCCAATAAAATATTAAAAGAAACGATGTGCAAAGAGTGTGACGCTGAAGACATATGATGTTGTGGCCACAAATGTAGTGTTTATGTCAGCTGTAATACCACAGGTCACATTAAGATGTCACTAAATGAACAAATAAAGCTCTTGAAAGGACAAATATGAGAGAACTGCACAGATACTGCTGTTGTGATGTGTTTAATGTGACGTCAACTTCAGAACAAGCAACTTATAATACAAAAAAAGTTCAAATTAGTTAAGATCAAACCTCAAGACCACATTGCAATATTCCTAAACTACATATTTGCACGCCTTAAGTGCATTCACTTCTTATACACACTTTGGGATATAATATCAAACCCATTTTATGCGAGTTTGTGATTCATAGAGACAGATCTCATTTCCATTATTAATATATTTTGATCCCACACCATGATTTCTAGAGCCAGTCCCTGTGTTCTCACTACATTTATAACACTGCCCTCTTATGGCACATAAAGAAACATTTCTCTTTTGAATATACTGTAAATACAGGTAGATATATCATGAACATGCTTGTAAAATTATTTCAAATATCAAACCAATAATCCATAACGTATGTATATGAACTAATATTTTCTGTAATTGTTCTTTTTACTTTAATGTTGAAAGAATAAAGGTGACTTTATAATTATGGTTTCTGCATTTAGACTATTACCTATGAAGGCCAGTTTACACCACATGAGAAAAAAAGTCACATAGCCTTAAAAGGTCATTATTAGAAAAAACAACAAAACAATCATACTATGTCATAATTATTAACATTATAACAATTGACAAAATTTTAAATCATAGTTATGACAGTCATTGGGATTATGTCATAACATAATTATGACAAAACAGTCATAATTACGACATAAATAGTCATTATGACATAACATAATTATGACAAAACAGTTGACATAACATAATTATGACAAAACAGTCACAATTATGAAATAAACAGTCATTATGACAAACGGTCATTATGACATAACAGTTTTGGCATAAACAGTCATAATTATGGTATAAAAAGTCATAAGTGAAATTATAAAAAGTTAAAATTGAGATAAAAAGTCATAATTATTACATAAAATTATTAGTTTTTACTCATAATTATGGGTTAGTATTTCATAATTTTGACAAAATTCTGTGTCATAATTTTGACTTTATATCTTATAGTCTATAACTATGACTTAGTAATTTTTGAAGGTATGTTATAGTAATTAGAGTTCACCAAATAATTTTTTTTTTTTCTAATGTAGCAGAAATGGCTTTAAAAGGACGAAAAATTTTTTTTTATGTTCTCAGAATTTAGTGCGTTTAGTGCCCGTCACAAATATTCTAAGAAAAAATGAAGCAAACCACCCACTAACAAACTGAGCAAGTAAATACAGCAGCCAATAACTACTCACTCAAGCACTATTACATCACCTCAAAAACCATAAATGGACCATTTCTTATAGCCATCTTACTAAAGTGTCCCAGACGGATCAGTTCCAGGTCACTGTGAGCGGATCAGCATTCTTCCCTCCCAGATAAGCTCCTGGAGAGAGGCTGAGGGAGTAAGGGATGGATGAAGGGTATGTGGAGGTGCGCAGTAGAGTCATGTCATCGGTGTTATAGAAGCACACCTGACACCGGTCACAGTCCAGGTACAGCCCTATCCTGCGTGGTTTCACCGTTAGATCTATCTCTGTCACCGTCTCATACTTTTTGATGCAGTAGCCTTGGTTATGCTTAAGGTGAAGCTCAATGTCCTTGTTTAAGTTGCTTATAGACCCACCATCGAAGCCCACGCTCCAGTCTATCTTTACTCCTACGTCCAACTCCCAGTAGTGCTGTCCAGACTGGAAGGTCTTGTGGGTCCTGGCCAGAGGCCTGTAGTCTTTGTGGCGCAAGAAAATCCCCTTTTTGGATGTTCGGATGACGCTGCGTCCATCAGAGGAGACCCTCAGGTATGGGTCATGACAGTCATGTATGACATTACGATCAGGGACTAAGAAAGACAAAGCGTGAAAGATAAATGCAATGTAGTTTATCATACACTACTAGTCAAAAGTTGGAAATAATTTTGATTTCTTAAATGTTCTTAAAAGTCTCTCCAAGGTTGCATTTATTTGATTAAAAATATAGTAAAAAAGCAGTCATATTGTGTAATATTATTACAATTTAATTTGTTTCGTTGAACAAATTAAATCCAGTCTTGATAGACGAGGTGTTGTTGGTGCTGACTTACTTGATTTTAAAAAGGCTTTTGATACCGTTAATCATAATGTTCTTTTATCCAAATTATCAAGGTTTAATTTTTCTACTAATACATTAACATGGACGGAGTCATACTTAAATTTAAGAAAACATTGCACACGAATTAATGATGCATGCTCACCATTTCTTGACTGTAATATTGGAGACCCACAGGGGTCGATTCTTGGACCAACTTTGTTCAGCTTATATATTAATGATCTGCCTACAGTTTGTCCAGAGGTCTAGGTTCAGATGTATGCAGATAATACAGTTGTTTATACTTATGCTATAAGACACAAGAACAAGCTGCTATCAAACTTACTGCTGCATTGAAGAAAGTCTCAGATTGGCTATGTCATTCCTGCCTTACTCTTAATGTGAGTAAAACTGTGGGAATGTTTTTTCGATCAAGGAAGTTGATGAGCGTTGTCCAGATATTTTAGTTAATGGAGAGGTAATAAATATTGTTGAGCATGTTAAATATTTGGGTATGATTATGGATTCTAACCTATATTTAAAAAAAACATATTAAAAAGGTCTCTAAAAGTACTAGAGCAAGCTTGATGATCTTCAGGAATATTAGGCACCAATTACCTGTGGCTGCTGCTAAACTCATTATGCATACAATGATCCTCCCTCATTTATCTTACTGTGCTACAAGTTGGTCTCATACAAGTATAACTACGTTAAAACCATTATATACTATTTATAAACAAGCTGTGAAAATCTTAGCTAAAAAGCCAAGGAGTTATCATCACTGCAATATTATTAAAAATTATAAATTATTGACGTTTGATAATTTTTTATTATTTGCTGATGTGTGCTTGATGTACAAACTATTTCATGATCTTGCACCACCACCTCTTAAACAATGTGTGACTTTCTGTAAGGATAATACCAGGCAGACTAGGTCATCAGTTAGAGGTGATTGTTCAACTAAATTTAAGAAAACTGTTTTTGGACAATCAGCTTTTTCAGTTAGAGCAGCAGAAAGATGGAATTGTCATTTTCCAAGTGCCTGGAAGTCAACAGTAATAGCACTTTTATTTAAGACTGGTGATCCTGCTAATGTAATTAACTATAGACCTATCAGTATTCTACCAGTTGTTTCTAAAGTAATTGAAAAGGTCGTTTGCAATCAGTTAGTAGAGCATTTAAATCTTGGTCATTTTCCATTACATCGTATGCAGTTTGGATTTAGGGTGCATCACTCTACGGAGACAGCAAACTGTTATTTTGTTGAACAAATTAAATCCAGTCTTGATAGGGGAGGTGTTGTTGGTGCTGTCTTCCTTGATTTTAAAAAGGCTTTTGATACCGTTAATCATAATGTTCTTTTATCTAAATTATCAAGGTTTAATTTTTCTACTAATACATTAACATGGATGGAGTCATACTTAAATTTAAGAAAACAATGTACACGAATTAATGATGCATGCTCACCATTTCTTGACTGTAATATTGGAGTCCCACAGGGGTCGATTCTTGGACCAATTTTGTTCAGCTTATACATTAATGATCTGCCTACAGTTTGTCCAGAGGTCCAGGTTCAGATGTATGCAGATGATACAGTTGTTTATACTTATGCTAAAACACAAGAACAAGCTGCTATCAAACTTACTGCTGCATTGAACAAAGTCTCAGATTGGCTATGTCATTCTTGCCTTACTCTTAATGTGAGTAAAACTGTGGGAATGTTTTTTTCGATCAAGAAAGTTGATGAGCGTTGTCCAGATATTTTAGTTAAAGGAGAGGTAATAAATATTGTTGAGCATTTTAAATATTTGGGTATGATTATGGATTCTAACTTAAATTTTAAAAAACATATTAAAAAGGTCTCTAAAAGTACTAGAGCAAGCTTGATGATCTTTAGGAATATTAGGCACCAATTACCTGTGGCTGCTGCTAAACTCTTTATGCATTCAATGAATTTATCTTACTTATCTTACTGTGCTACAAGTTGGTCTCATACAAGTATAACTACGTTAAAACCATTATATAAACAAGCTGTACAAGCTGTGAAAATCTTAGCTAAAAAGCCAAGGAGTTATCATCACTGCAATATTATTAAAAATTATAAATTATTGACGTTTGATAATTTTTTATTATTTGCTGATGTGTGCTTGATGTACAAACTATTTCATGATCTTGCACCATCACCTCTTAAAACATGTGTGACTTTCTGTAAGGACAATATCAGGCAGACTAGGTCATCAGTTAGAGGTGACTGTTCAACTAAATTTAAGAAAACTGTTTTTGGACAATCAGCTTTTTCAGTTAGAGCAGCAGAAAGATGGAATTTAATACCTGTTTATATTAGAGAGTGTACAATATTTAGTATTTTTAAAACTACGCTTAAAGTATGGCTTAAGGAAAATCAAATATGTGATCATTGACTTGACTTTATAATTTAATGGAGTATGATGTGATATTGTATGTGTTGTACGTATTGTATTGTTTGTGACTGAATATTGTAATTTTGTAACAACATCCTGCCCAGGGACTGCAGATGCAAATTAGCTTTATAGCTAACTCTGGCACAACACTTTTGTTGTGCATTGTCCCTGTACAAATAAATGAAATAAACTAAACTAAACTAAATTTAAAATAACTGTTTATTATAAAAATGTGTTACTCATTTAATCCTAATTTCTAGTTTTTTATTCCTGTGATGGTAAAGCTACATTTTCATCAGCCATTACTCCAGTCTTCAGTGTCACATGATCCTTCAGAAATCATTCTAATATGCTGATTTGCTGCTCATTATTATCTCATATTTTATTATTATCAT